TCATATCATACTCTGGCTCATGAGAAATCTAACATACACTGGTCCTGAACTAATCTGACCATGAATATGCAAATTCACATATCCTGAAACCCAATCCTAACAAGCACAATTCAGATGTGCTAACTCCTAACCTCTCACACTACTATCATATCCTGATGCCAAATCTTACATTTCCTAGTTGTGAAACCTTATGCAGGTAGGCTCTCTCTTCAACAAAGTTCAAGGGACCATGAACTTTGTTACAGAGAGTGCCTATAGCATGGCAGGAGCGAACCATATATGAAATAAAAATATTCACAATACAGTACAGACAAAATCGTTGTAAACAAGATCATTGTTGAGAAAGTCCACCAAAATACTGTACAGTATAGCAATAAACTAAAATGCTCCAACTTTCAACCTTACAGTCAACAACATACCCTCACATCAAGCACAACTATCATACCCTCACACCTCCCCTGAACATAACCAACATGCCCTTCACTAAATCTCACACAATCCAAGATGTCATAATGAGATAACACATCGACTATCCAGAGGTCATGCTGAACTTATATAAAATGAAACCACTATGATGGGACAACTGTACCCATCAAGAGCCCAATTCTTGCTTTTACAAACTTGGAGCTCTTTCAGAAAATGGCGATTTCAGCACTACGAATGCATGGACAATACCCGATCCATTCCTGAAGCAACACCCACAATTTCGCGAGTATATACTGTGTTATGTCTCAAACGCGCCAGGCGCTGAATGACGCAAGGGCGCGAGGCAAATTTTCGGGAGAAACACGACCGCAAGTGTCATCCCCACGGCATAAATTACGCTTTCTGGCGGTGAAACGCTTGGTAAGCATGCTAAGAGAAACACACATAAAACAACAAAAAACGACCAAGTTCCCGCCTGTGCCTGCATCCTCACCCCACAGCCGCGTCGGTCGGAAACGCGTACCTCCGTACTGGCACGGGTCCAAATGGAACACGAGGCCTTGAAACGCTCCGTTCGCGAAGTAAAACCTTTTTTCTTTCTTTCTCACAAATCACGAGAGAATGGAAACGAGAACTTGCACCGACTATTGTATGAAAGGAACGTCGAAGATCTGCCAGCTATCCGCACGCGGACGCTCCAGCATTCTCACCAAGCCCTCGATCCGGTGATGGTCTCAGGGGAACGGCTGGAGGAGCGGCAGAGAGAGAGAGAGCGAAAAAGAAAGTCGTGAAGAACATTTTACGCTCCTGTATAGAACCTCTGCTGGTGCCGCTTTGGTATGGCATCTACCCCACGTGGACCAATAACCTTTTAGCATGCCATTTAAGTAATGTATATCAGTGGTACAGAAACGTACAGTAAACTATGGGCGCGATAGATTTACTTCACGATGGACGCGGGCTGCTGCTGATTTTTGCTTCTTCCAATGAACTGCATGAATGGTGATCGTAAAACAAATTCATGGGGATATTTGGGAATACGCGGTTGCCAGTTTTCCAGACTAATACAGTAATACTGTGTGAGCTTTTGATCTTCTCGACTGTGATGAGCTTGTTCCCTGTGTATCTGAGCAATTTTTTGCAGTTGCTTTCTGCTTCACACTATCAGATCTGTTTGGTAATTTATTCCTTTTCATATTACTTGCTCGGTCGACTTCAAATAAATGAACAGATGATCGAACATCCGGAGGAACGCGATTTAATCTTCATTCCTTCTACACTGAACTGTTTTCTTTTTAATGAAATGGAATTAGCGAAGTGAAAGTAGAATGAAACCTAAATCTGGGTCTATACATGTACGACAAGGGCATCATTAGCAAAAACAGCCTCCTTATAGTCAAGAGCATCCATTCCCAAAAATACCCGAACAGCAAAGTAGCACCATCAAATCACACCATCACTCACAAAAAAACCTTGATAATGAAAAAATTTCAGGAAATGCTTACTGCATGGAAACAGACTAAAACGTATCCACAAACTGTTCGTGAGCAAAATATAAAAAAGGTCAAGCTCTACATGCTACGGAAAGTAATCGTTTCAGCTTCCCCTTCGTTACCTCCAAATCTATTCGTTATTGGCCTATATTCTACAGTATTTGGTGAAGCTGCCAGAAGAAAACAATACAGAAATAAAATAAACGTGAAAATAAAGATGCAACAAATTGGATGCAGTTTCACAGACCGGCATTTTCCACTCAGAAAATCGGGAGATGAGATGCCGTACTAAAGCGGCACCAAACTTTCCTCGCTTTTGAGGTGGAGTACGCTGCGCACGCAATCCCCCGGAAACCAAGGAACGGCGCGATGGTAACCTTGCGATGCGAATGATTTTTACGGTCGTAAAAAAATTTGATTACAGAATCTCGTGAATATTCGAACCATACACGCCCGCGAACAAGCATGCAACAGACACTGCTTTGTCTTTATTGGCAGCAACGTTGAACTTTTGACCTCAACATCCCCACATCAAGGTTTACCACACAAGGTAAGACATGGGTATGTCAGGCCACACGACAGGCACTCGAAATTCCACATTGAAGAAGAATCTTCTTATCATATAAAAACTCGCCTCCTTGCAAAAAAAAATCCCGATGGTTACAACTCCCATAATACACACTTATACCTCGGAGAATCAAAATTACAGTACAGTACTTTCAGTAATGGCACGGGGTGCTGTGACCTGCAGAAAGTGCATAACCTCCGATACGATTTTCCATCCAGGAGCAGAGCATTGCTTGGAGGGGTCGTGAGTTTCTCAAATTTTTATAGTTTTCTTGTGCGTACCTCGGTGAAAAGGAATGCGTGGAAAAGCATTGTCCCACGCGGGCCATGCCTCTGATTTCTATCGAACAGTTACTTCTGTCTCTTTACTCCTGACCTTCGTTGAAGGCCCGAAATGGTCCTTTCACTCATGATTTCTCTCGCGCATAGCAAGTGAAAGATCCTCTATATATAGCAGCCGATCCCATGAGATCTGAGGACCTCCGCACAAAACTTGAATTGCACGGCTACTGATTTCAAGATTCTTCGGTTCATTTGTGAATTTAAGAATATCAATAGGAAGGTGAGCTTTCTTCTAATTACCATATTTGAGCTCGGAGTTTCTAATGGGGATTCCACGTTTTACGATGAAGAACATCACATTTTTAGTATCTACTTACAGTATTGCAAATGACAAACAGTATTTGTACGAACGATTTCGCATGAACAGGAGTTTAGTCATACATGCGTTGGAGCAGTATATATACTTAACTGTATAATAAAGTGATCACCGGTTTTAAAAATGCGGCTCCGGCATGGGTAGTCCGTGATGAAAACATGCGCGGTCAACCGCGAAAATAGCGACGCGTTCTTCATAAACGGGGATTACGTCCGGATTTCACTATGGATCCACACACGAAAGGACCACAATATAACATGTGCCATTTCAATGTACAGTACATCAACTTCTGCAGAGAAAGCGTAAACTGCATTCTTTAATCATCTCCTAAGCTGCGATATTCCTCAGCGGAGACCAGACTAAGTCCTGCGGCTGTCGTTCTTCACCAGTATCATTAACATTCAACCGCAGTTTTGCAATGAAACGTCTTTATTGTACACGAAACGAAGTAACACTCACTGCGGAATTCACAACGCAACTTGAATAGAGGATCTTACTTCCTCGAATCAAAACTTTGACTCGTTCGAATACCGTACGTATGAATTTCCTGCGTTTCTCGAGGCGGCGCATTTACGAACAGATATTTTCGAAGAGCGCTTAATCGAATGCGAGAGTCACACGCACGTAGGCAACATCCCTGCCCCGGCGCGTTCCGTTCCACCATCGTAGCATCAAGCAGATGGAAAGTTCACATTTAAATTGGACTTCAGGAAGAAATGTGGGGCAAGCATTCATCCTCACTCTGGGCTTAACCGCGCGCATAAATCACCGATTTATTCAGCCCTAGCAGATAAAGTCTTCAATTTGAACTGGAAACAGAAGCAGGTTAAAGCCTAGTGTACATGATTATCCGACAGAGCTTGAGTACTGTATCTGTATAGCGGTACCCCCACAAAAATTTCGTTTCCTCAGCAGTACATTTTCATAACCTTTCCTTCTTTTCCGGACTTCTCTCGAACACTGCATGATTTCGCAGATATTTTTGGACTGGACCGGCTGGTTCGTGCAGGCCAACGACCTGACTTCGCGTCCCGCTGACGAGAAGCACGACGCGCCGAATCGACGCTGCATGATGGCTTCAGTGCATGCAGCGAAGACTTTCACCGCTCGGATTTCTTACTTACGAATCTGAATTACGATGTATCTCAGGGATTTAAATCTTCGGTGATCTGCAGTGGGATCGTATGTTCGTTCACGAAATACAGGCGAAGACCCGGATCTTATTCCCTTCAAAATACTGTATACGACTGTTCTGTATTTTAATTTGAATCGATCTCCATAACTAAAAAGTCACGGATAATAAATCTAGTCAGCGCAAGTACATGTGCATTTGTGGAAAATGCGTACGGTACTGTAGTTTTAACCGACCTGATGAAGGGCAATCAGAAATAAGATCAAAATACCCCTGGTACGAACAATTTTCGAAGGATCTACAAAATTATCAGCATGTCGACTGATCTGTGAATTACATAATTTAGGATCAAAATGGACACGCTAACAATAAATTTCGCATTCGACAGTACACGTTAGGCAACGCGCAATCGAACGAAAAACAAACTTTGCCATTCCGACATATCACGAACGTTCGGTGTCAACTCGAGACATGGGTATCATACAATGAACGTACAGTACTGTATTGAATATGGTTTTGCTCAAATCATAATCGCTTCAGAGTGACATCTAGGCAATTATTTTGAAAGGCATTATTACTGGAAAGCTCATTTCACCCCACGCTACGCTCAAAGATTCTACCGATGTGAAGATTGCGTGAGTAAAGGCAAGTGTACTGTAATGGGGAACAGTAACGCAGTGTGTGCGAAGAATGCGCAGTTCATGTTTCGCTCTAATTTCCAACGGTAAACTGTGTTTTTTAATATTTTAGAAGGAGAAGTCGCCGCGAAAATGAATCAAGAATTGACCTCGCCAGAAATGCTGTTGTGAAATGTGCCGGTGCTTTCATTTCGCTCGACCTTGTGTATAGCATTCTGAGCATGTCTTCTACGGAGCAAGAACAAGTTTTAAGTGATGTCTTCAGTCTTCTCGTTGCTGCCGGGTACTTCCGAGCTCGTATTCGCGGCCTCTCTCCGTTCGACAAAATTCTCGGTGGACTCACGTGGTGTTTTGAAGCAGCGGCGGTCGATGTGGATGTCGATTTATTTTATGATGCCGACGCATTGTCAATTGGACAGAAAATCGCGCTAACAGAGAAGCTTGTACATGCTCTGCAACGAGTTCGCTGTCCCCATATTATCCAACCTCATCAAATTCAGGGCTTAGATGCTCCAGCCATTTTTCCGGTAGCCCAATGGCTTGTGAAGAAGGTTAGGTTCCTCAGTTAAATGTGCTCTTTGTTCGATGTTTATGCAGATTTGATGTTGCAGGCGTTAGAAACCCGGAATGAAAGAAGAGAAGAAACTCTCGCCCGAGGAAGCTATGAATTTCAACGAACCTTTGGAAAGTTTTTGGAATCATTGGACGATGAGGAAATTTCCGCATTTACTGGGAAGCGGTTGACAGAAGTCCAGAAGATGTACGCTCCTAGTAGAGTTTACAGAAGAACGATTCCTCTCCCGTCGGATGCTGAAGAAGCTGAACGAGTGCGTTCTACCCTTCTGGAGTTCGGACGAACGTCTGTGGACATTAATTCTGAGGATCCATCATCGGGTATTTTATTTTTAAATTTTAGAACTACAGTACTGCAGTACTTTTTAAACTTGCTTATTAATGAGAAAAGAAGAACTTGGAGAAAATTCCGTAGATGTCATGATCCTTGGTTTTTGCACAACAGTATATCAAATTATCGTCTTGCTTCGGAACTTCTACTGTATTGGATTTTTGAGTATGCATAATTTTAGGAGTACAATGAATCCCCACGCAAATCATGAATACTTCGTGCATGATGCATTTTCAGCCTATAAGTTTCGAGAAGCACATTCATTAAAAATAAAGCATTCGTGATTTTAATTTTCAAAATAATGTTTTGCATTCTACGATTTGTTTTTCTCTTCGCTGCTCTTTGTCTGCGTGCTTTTATCCCAAAAATAAAAATTTTAATTCTAGAAATCTGTAATTCCGTTTTAGATCTATATTCCAAGGAAATTTTGCCCATGGAGCAAAAGATCACTCGGGACGATGTGAAACTGAGCGAGGATACTAGAAACCTGCTTCAGGCACAAGTGCAGAAATTTTCTGTTCCTGCGGTGAATGTTATCATTACACCGGAAAAGCTGAAAGCGGTTCTTGATGCTCATCACGCGGCACTTGAAACTTCGATTTCCAGAAAAACCGAACTTAAGGCAAAAATGGCTGTACTGAAAGGGGAATATCACGAAACATCGGCCGAAATTTCAAAGTGCAATGATGAGTTGCTGGCAATATCACAAGTTGTGGACAAACCGGAGAACAAAGCCATGCTGGAAAAATTGCAGGAACTCGTTGAAGAGCATGATTCAATTACGAAAAAAGAAAATAAGGTTTGTTCTTATTGTTATAAGTCTATTGACGTTTGATTTTGACATGATCTTCGACGAGTTTTTGGACAAATAACCTTGTAAAAGTTTGATTCTATGTACTTTTCGCCGTTTGAACCATACTAGCTGAAAGCAGTAATGGAACAGGAGACGCTGAAGTTGGAAGCCGAACTCGAGGCGTATTCAACAGTTAATTCTGCTGGGGATAAAGAAACGTCGAGAGAAGAAGAAAAACTTATTCAAGAGGACATCGACGCCGCGACCAGTCAAGTAGATGACCTCAGATTGCAGAATGCTGAAGTGTCGAAAAGGCTTCTCGATCTGTCACGAAAAGGAGATTCCATTCCAATGAGAGCGGAATTAGTGCAATATCAACGACGCTTTGTGGAGCTGTATGCGCAAGTTGCATCAAAGCATCGCGAAACTAAACAATACTACACGCTTTACAACAGCTTGGAAGATCAAAAGGTTTCCTGGATTTATTTTATTTTTTTTTTAAATATATTCAGCTAAATCAGCTATTATGATTCTTCATTACGGCTGCAGTCCTACTTAGATCGTGCCGTGACCCTGATGAATTCCATCGTCGAAACTTTTCCAAGAGCTTTCTCGGGAACTGATGCCGCCAAAGAAGAGTTTATCGGGCAGTTGGATACCATTCTCTTCGGAATACGTGCGAGTCAAGCGAAACTGGATCAGCGTCAAAGAAATTTGGAGCAAGAGCGCGAAAATTTGAGGAAACAACGGAGAGAGCTTGCTGATGCTCACAGAGCATACTTGAAAACTGTGAAATCATTTCAAGAAGAATGCAAACGAAATGAAAAGTTAATCACTGCCCTGACGAACTGTTCCGATGAAATTGCTGCGCAGTGATTCGTGCTAATTATGCAATTAGCGCCTGTGTTCTCAAGGTTTCGTGAGATGAGAAATTTAAAGATGAGGTCTTATCTCTGTGCCCGCTATCTTGTTCCAGTTGCCACTGTGAATGGTGGTCTTCCCTGCGTGCTAACGCAAGTGATATACAGTATATTTCAATGCCTGACATGCATTCATTCTTGAGAAATATGGTGTTCGTTTTCGAATGTTATTATTCCCGTATGATGTGAAACTGTTGATGCTGTTAGCTTAACGTTTCTAGGGGCTTCCATAATGGTATTATATGTTGTGGGTCTGGGTCTTGGAGATTGTGCGGACATAACTGTTAAAGGTCTGGAACGAGTTAAAGCTGCAGATGCGGTTTATTTCGAGTGTTATACTTCTATCCTTGGACTTGAAAAGGAGGCCCTTGTGAGTCACGAACCCGCATGCGAAGTTCGAACTTTGGTTTTATTCAATTTTTAAATTCCAGGAAGCTTTTTACGGGAGAAGCGTCTTCGAAGCGGACCGAACCTTAGTCGAAGAAGGATCCGATGTAATTTTGGATGCAGCGGAAAGGGGCTCAGTTGCATTCCTTGTTGTGGGTGACCCTTTGAGTGCTACAACGCATACTGATCTGATTTTACGCGCGAAGGAACGCTCAATTCAAGTTGAAATCATTCACAATGCGTCGATTATGACCGCCGTTGCATCTTGTGGTCTTCAGGTGGGGGCATATTTCTTTTAATTGAAATCCGGGTAACCCCTCGTAGTTCTCGTAGTTATTTTTTATGTTGGTCAATTCAAGAGCTACATAACGATCACTTGAAATTCTAAAATTTTGAAGCGTAAGCACAGAAATTACTAAGGCTGTTCGTCTGGGATGCCTGGAAAAATACTGTTTGGTGTTCGCCATTTGGTATTTCGTTTTTGCTTCCGTCTTCCTCTCACAGCCACAAGCTTATGATGTCTGTGAAAGGAAAGCAAAACCTTTTGGAACGATGGTCGTGTGGCTGTTGCCTGAAATTTTTTTTAATTCTCAGGCCGATTAAAGTACTGATTTGTTTTCTGGCAAAATGAGAACATTGGTAGCGTCCAGAGGAAAGAAAAAAATTATTCATTGTCTGTGGCTTGTCAGAGCAATAGATTATTCATCAAGCTGAAATTTTTCTTGAAAATTGTCCCATTTTTTTTCCATGAGCGAAACACTTGTCGAGAGGATGTCAAAGAGTCAATTTTTTCACGTACCTTGTATTCCGTCAACTTGAATTGCATCATGAACTAAATGGTATTTTTATGACTCTTGGAAATAGTCACTAAAATTAAATATTCCGGAATATCTTATTTTCGGTGCTGGTAGCGAATGAATAACCTTGTACTTCACCCGGACATCAAAATTACACTTCCATGTGTTTGATCGAGCTTCTGGTTTTGAAAAGCTTCATGTATATTTTAGCTTTACAGTTTTGGTGAGACCGTTTCAATCCCATTTTGGACGGAATCGTGGAAGCCGGACAGTTTCTTCGACAAGATTTTAGCCAATCATGAGAGAAATCTTCACACTCTGTGCCTGCTAGGTAAAGAAACGAAAATACGGTTTTTCTTGTCTCGAAGACTGTTCTGGAATTATCGAATGGCATGTGTAATTAATTATTTTATCCTGATTTACAGATATAAAAGTGAAGGAACGTTCCGTGGAAAACATGATGCGTGGAAAAAACGTTTTTGAACCTCCCCGTTTCATGACCGCAGCCCAAGGAGCTCAACAACTCGTCGAAATAATTGCGGCGCGAGCAATAACTGCCAATCTTCCATCAGATAACAAACCAAAAATTAATCCGGATTCGTTAGCTATCGCTTTATGCAGAATGGGAAAAGATTCTCAACTGATAGTAGCTTGTGGATTGAAAGAAATGTGCTTGCGTGATGATCTTGGTGGTCCTCTACACTCCCTGGTAATTCCTGGGCCTAAGTTGCATGAAGTCGAGCTTGAGTTTGTCAAGCAGTTCTTCTCCGAGAGCAAGAGAGTCGGTTCAGGATGATTTTTTTGTGATAACGTTAATTTTATGAATATTTTTTTAGTGTTTTGCGGATGGCGTTTGTTGGTATCGATTTGACCCTCCTTTCTGTGGATTTCAGGGACAACTTTTCGGCAAATGGATCGTTCGTAAAATTTATGCTTGAATAAGTGTATCCTGTCAAATGAGCCAGCGTGATGGTGCTGGTGGAATTGTTGGGATCGCTGTCGCGTCACTCCGCGTTTTCGCTTCGGAAAGTGTTGCTTGAAACTCAGACTGCTGCCACTGTTTGTGTTCAGGTTAGTGTCCTAATTTGAAAATTTTCGTTGAAGTGTTCTCCGAAGTTGATTCTGACGAGCCCCAAAGCTGCGATATTTGACCTGACAGACTCAAAGGTTTTTTGCTGAGCCCCTTCTACCGAAGATTTAACCTAGTTTTTCATGTAACGGGAGAATATAATACAGTCGTTTAAGTTGAAACTTCCAGTTTAACCATCGGAGGGAGCGCGTGTGTGTGTTCTAAAATAATTTTTTTTATGTTTCTAAGTCGTGAAAAAGTATTTTTTGGGAAAGTTAAAATTCTATTTTTAATGTAATGAAACATTTTCTGTGAATTCGGAGCCCATAAGCCGAAGGAAGGAGATTTTGAAAGAAAAAACTGCTTCTTTCAAAAATTGCATGATTTCTGAGAGTACAGTGCGATAGAATCAATGACAATCAAATTAAAAGTTTCTGGATTAGCTGGAGAATTTTTTAAAGTAACTTATGAGTCATTGTGAAGTTTACTTCAGACCCATAGTTATTCTTAGAATATTTCCCCTCGGGTTTTCTTCACCATTACCTGTGTTCCACGTATCTTTCAATGACATTAATGTTAGAAAATGTCTTATTAGTCCAGACAAAAATGGGAAACTAGTGCAATAGACGTCCCGAATCCTCCTGGAGGTAAAGGGGGAAGATATCCTCAAGGAAAACCTGCCCCTAGCAGGCAGTACTGGTATAATGTTCATTTCCCGGAGGACGGAAAATACACCATTGATCCCCTGCCTGTTACCAAGCTTGCTGGTCGTGATCCTGTGACAGGTACGTCGGTGGATTCATGCTTACGAGAGTAATCTTTTCGATAGAAACTTTGCGTCGAATTCTGTGAAGAATTATTCTTTCAATTAGTTATCATTGACAGCAAAATTCCTTCTAGGAAATTTTCGGATTGAACCTAAGCTATCCATCGGTTCAGGGTTAACAAACGAAATGCGAAATCCAAATTCTGAACCAAATGTTTTGAATTTTTTTTAGTGTCAAACTGTTTTTGTAGGAACTGTCAAATTATTATGCTCTTATATTTTCAAAACAATGGATCATTTTCTCCCTTCAAAATATTTAACGTGCGTTACACATCTTATCTATTAGGTGGCCGAAAATTTCTAATACCTATTCTTGGATTTTAAATCATCGAAAATTTTTGAACGATTTTTGCATAGTGCAGAGAAAAACTTTATTAAAATCCGTGTTGCAGGCCGAGTTGTGGTTGGAACAAGAGGAGGAGGCTTCAAATTTAAATTCCGCTGGCTAGACAACAAATTTCCGCAGCCCGAACCTGGGAAAACTGGCCCTGTGGAAGAAAAGGTGATCTATGTGAAGAAAGATCCAACTCATACAGGATTTGTTGCTTTATTTGCCCGTGGAAACTATTTGCGTTACATGGTCGCAACGGAGTTCATGAAGGCTGGCGATGTAATACAAACACACTGGGATATCCCGAAAATTCCAGGTATTTTTTTCAAACAGAAGTGTTCTTTGTCGAGAAATATTTTTTCATTTGTTTGGGCCGTGTCTTTATCTTGAAGTGAGGCCAAAAGATGGTGACGCCCATCCACTAGGGGCCCTTCCGGTCGGTACGCAAATTTGCAACATTGAAGTGTATCCTGGATTCGGTGCCTATTTTTGCCGAGCAGCCGGGACGTCTGCCACTATCATAAAAAAAGTTGGAGATCGAGTTTTCGTCAAGATGCCTAATAAGAAAGAATATTCTTTCGATGAACGAGTTATGGCGTACGTAGGTGAGAATATGGTTTTTGGGATTTTGAAAAAAAAATTCAGTGATATATGAAAAGGGTTCTGTGCACTTGGGGTGGGAGATTGCATGTTCCATGTTTTATGAATCACCGTTATGGTTTAAGATGGGGCTTGTATTCTTGATTTATTTTGTTCTGTTCCAATTTTTAGAGATACGCCTGGTGTGAGAAATTTTTCCCTTTAAATTTTTTATAATTTTCCTTTCAATTTAAAGGTCGGATCTCCAATCCCGGTCACAAGGATGAGCACATCGGCAGTCCAAATCGTTTGAGGTGGCTCGGTTATAGGCCGAGGTCTGGACTGTGGCATCGGAAAGACGGGTATTGCGGGCGGAAAATCCGACCGCTTCCTCCCGTGAAGGCGTATAACAAGAAAGAAAATGAATCAACCGATGAATTGATCAGATTCACTGTAAATCTGAAAGGCCCGCGAGTGCGAAACTACAGAGGTGCTTGGCAGATATAGGCGTAAATCTGTTATTGAATCATTCGAATAGGTTTCTGATGTGAAATGAATGCTGTCGTAAATGGAAACGTTTTTTTCTCTTTTCGAGCTTATACCCCGAGAAAAGTTGTGTCTTCGAAAATTCGAAGGCGACGCGGAAAAAAATACTGCGGTCCGGAATACGTAACAAGGTGAGGGGTGACGTGTGTGTCGCATTCTCACTGAATACAGTATCCTGGTTTCTCTTGAGATATACGGTAACTACAATAAATTTGTTACGACGTGTTGCTTGTCGCATTTGGACCTTGAGAAACGGAAAATTTCAAGTTTTGCTTGTGTGGNAAACTGACTGAAGCGTAGTGTGGTTGTTAGTTGATGAACGCTCGTGGATTATAATTTTTTCTGGAGAGAGCCAATCAATCGAGTACTTAGTTTTTTGTGCGTGTGAGAAACAGACTTTTTTAACTGGCCAACTTGAAGCGCGGAGAAAGTCAACGAAATGGTTGGCTGTTCACTCTGCGGAATTAACGCACGAATGTTGTGAACATTTTCTGTAATTGATTCGGTGTTATGTCTGTTGAATATGTCTTTCTTTTTCTACTCTATACAGGGATGAACTCGTGTGTGTTTCCGCAGTCCCCTTAATGTTATCGTCGACTTGCTGTGAAATTGAGTGAGAGCCCGGTTAAGCAAACGATGCAATCTGGTGATTCGGTCGATGCGGCCATCGATGCCAAGCGATTTGCAGTCTTACGCCGGATCGAAGAACGGCAAGAGGCTCGCGAAAAGGCCTTAACGGAGTCCACCCGCAATGTGACGAAAGCTGCGCAAGAAGAATTCTTGTCATCTTTTCATGAATTGAGAGCCAAATTTCTCGATCTTCTGGAAGCTGCGAAGGAGGGCTGCGTTGACGTTACAACCTCAGTGGAAAGCGCTGCAATCGTGCTTCATGAACTGCAAAACTTTTTGAATGGGAGAGTTGCTGGTCTACCGGCGTATCGAGTGCAACAGCTTCAAAACGAACTGGATCAATATTATACTTCTGTTACCGAACTCCGACAGAAGCATTTTCCGAAAAAAAGATTCGGCTTTAAGAAGCCGGCGAATCCAAGTGTCGTTCCTGTTAAACCGGTGAAGCTGACAACAGATGCCGTGTTTATACCAATTGATTCTCGTAACTACATTAGCTTTACCGAGAAAAGTGACTGCGAGCATGATTTCTACGATGTCGACGGGAAAGACATTCTGTTGAATAATTTGACCCGTTGCAGAATCGTCATTCATGGTACCCCTGCAACTGTGCATGCCACGAATATCGCGGACTGCGAAATTTGCACGGGGCCTGTGAGAACATCGATTTTCATCGATTTCTGCGTTTCAAGTACCCTGCAGATCGCTTGCCAACAACTTCGAATTCATTCGAGCAAGCATTGCAAATTTTTTACCTACGTTTCCAGTAGGGCTATTATCGAAGATTGTCAGGATATAGAGTTTGGACCGTACAACCGGACGTACCCGGATATAGAGAAAGACTTTGACAAATGCGGCTTTTCTCGAGAGCGAAACAACTGGAAGAGCATTGACGATTTCAATTGGCTTGCGCTAGATAAACCCTCACCCAATTGGCGTCTGGTTTCGGAGCGTGATGGGGATGAAAAGTCTCACTAATATTCACAGTGATGAACACGGTTTCAATTTTAATTCAGGGTGTGATTCCAAATGCACGGCTAATGCAACTGTTTCGCTGAATCAATGAAGTGGTTGGCTCATTTTTGAATCCAAAGGCAATGTTTGATTATCTCTTTCAAAGCTGTCAAGTCTGAGGATTAGTGTAGTTTTGCCAGGACTGGGCTTTTCCACTCGTCGAGGCGCTACGTGAGTAAAGTGCTCTTCATGTACATACCATAATTAGAATTTGGTCTGATGGCTGCATTTCGCATTTTTTGCTGTTGGCAATGTGGACGACATTTTTCGGAGTTAATGCAAGGCTTCTGCGACTGCGTGGGTTCCGTCATTTTGCCGCTGCAACTCATGTGATGGATCTTCTGCCCAAATTAAATTAAATTATGCGAGAAATTCTGCTTCAAAAAGGGAAGGTTCGTTTTTTTTCTGTCGAAGGATCCATTGTCGTTCTCGATTTCCATTTATTTATCTAGTAAACGTCGAAGATTTGAAATCGTGTTGTCAATTTGATTACGATCTTGGTGACGTCGCGTTCATTTTTTTGATGCTTTGATTCTTGACGTCGTCTCGATGGCCTTGGAAGAAACTCCCGGAATACTGTGGTCACGAGTGCATCTAATAAATATTTTTATGTTCTAATTTTTTTTTTATTGTCGGAAAGAGGTTGATCTAAAAGAATTTTTTCTCTTAGAATGTGTGCTCGTTGTGATCATTAATGCGAGCGTGGAAAGTGCACTGCATTTTTTCTCTTTGTTGCGATGTTGATAAGGTGAGGTCTTTTCTCAAAGTTGGTGCAGAAGTGTGCATGACAATGTTTTCTCTTTTAAAGACGATTCTCAACCAAAAAGTTTTGGCGAGACTCCGCAAGCTTGATATTATGCGCTCCCAGTACGACACAAAATGCATATGGGGATAAATGCCACGTATTAATGGTTCAGAGGCATGCGGAAAGTAGGTTTATGGCAAACACACACGTTTTTCCTGGAGGAGTAATATCCGATGAAGATTTCCGTCATGATCATGTTCAAACTCCGTCATCACGTTTCCCGGCGTGTGCAGGTCGAGAAAATGCCGATGCAGGATTCAGAGTAGCAGCTTTACGCGAGACCTTTGAAGAAACCGGTCTAATTTTCTCCGACGAACACGAAAGACGTGTCGAAGAAATCCGTGATTTGCAATTCAAAGTCAAGAACGATCCTGGTGAATTCTCGAATTTATTACCGAAAGAGAGTATGCCAACGTTACTGCGGTCGTTGCATCAATGGACAAATTGGCTGACACCATCGGACATCAAGCGCCGATTCGACACTATGATGTATGTCAAATTCATGGATGATCCTCGTCCAGCTCCCTCGTTGGACGCATCAGAAATAACTTCGTGTGCCTGGCTGGGTCTTAATGAAGCCTTGAGTCTAGGAAAATCCAAGAAAATTCTCCTTCCTCCGCCCCAGTTTTACGAAATTTTAACGTTGAGGGATATAATGAATTCGTCTAAAACATGGGAGGAATTCCAGAAGAACGTGATGCGACGAAGTGAACTGCTCCGTGAGGCAAGTATCCGCTGGCTCGTGGTGCGAGTCAAAACAAAAGACGGCGAAATCGGATTGCTTCCTGGAGACGACATGTATCCAGAATTCCCTGTTGAAGAGACCCGTGACGGCATGGAAGAGTTGGCCATAACTTGTGATGAAGCTCGAGAAAAGTGTGTTAGGTTGCACAGACTTGAAGGTATGCACAAAAGCTCTGCTAAGTTGTTCCGAAAAAATGTTGACTGCTTTGTTTAGCGGAGATCCGGAAGATTCAGGTGTTTCCTCTTCAGATTGTGGTGATTTTTCAGCTGTGGACGTGTTGAACTGGTGGTTACTTGAAGTGTTGAAATGAATTTATGGACGATGTTCGGCAGTAAGCTTCAGTTCAGGCCGATTTCCCACGAATTTTGAAGGAGTCGGAATAAAAGATTTTTGTTTGATAAGATTTTTGAAGATGAAAGGAAAGCGTTGGTTCGGAACTGCGCGGCTCAACTCGCTGTTGTGTTTTGCGGGTGCATTAGTTTCTAGCTACGGATTATACACAGAGTTGCGGAAAGAAGCGGATCCCGATTATGCTCCATTATGTGATTTACACGAGTATATCAGCTGCTCAAAAGCGTTTGACTCAAAGTAAGTTCCTAATTTTCAACAAAATATTTTGAAAAGATCCACGTTATTCAAAACGGGATTTCTTCCCTAGATTTGGCAAAGGCTTCGGCATAGTCGGTCCATTGTTGGGGGAAGACTCTTCTTTAAATCAATACAACTCCTTGTACGGCATCATTTCGTACAGCCTGCTCTTCGTTATTGGCAAGTTATTTCTGGAAAATTTGAGGTAGCCCGAATAAAGCCTGATCAATTTTTCGTTTTTAAACAGGGATGAATCCAGTAGGCAAGAGATTCAGCATCCTGAAATTCTTTGTTTTGATATCGAACATGATGTCGGTGTATTTGTGGTGCATTCTCGTCTTCGTATTGAACAACGTGTGTGTTGTTTGTTACGCAATTTATGCGGTGAATGCTCTTCTGTTGATCAATGTTTGGAGTATTCGCAATTTGAAAAGGGCATTGGATTAGGTTTACTACATTCGATTATTTCGTAACAAATGGATTTTGACGGGTATTCGGCATTTTATTGATATTCTACGCGAAATAATCTGATCAATTTGGATAGCATAGACTCTGTTTGTGAAGCTGGTCTGTTAGGGCATTGATTTTTGCACTCTCATATTCGCAGGATTTGTTTTAAATTAGCGTGGAAAACGGTATACAATTTTCAGTAGTTCAAATTTGTGAAAATGAGATATGTGCGGAGCAAAATTCAGGGATCCATGCTTGGCGCATTGATGGGAGACTGTCTAGCTGCCCCCTTTGAAGGTGATGCTGGTCCACTAACTGCATCTTTATACAAGAATTATTTCGAAGGTCTTCGGAAGGAGGATGTTGCCAAGAAATGTGAGCTTCCTTTTTTACATGTTCATACTTTCCGCAATAACTTTCTTTTTCTTGGGTAGTACCGTACAAACGATACACGGATGACACTGCTATGGCAATGGCTGTAGCAGAAAGTCTAGTCGAGAGAAAGGGTTTTGATGCTCGTGATATGGCGATAAGGTGAGAGAAACATTTTTCAAGGTTTCCAGTCCTACTCGTAAATTTTTTGGATTTCCGTATCTGTAAAAGATTTTTTAAACATGTACAAATGTTCCTAATGGTATTGTCTCTCTCAAATCTGAACGGTTTTTGAAGATGAAACATTTTCAGGTCTCGGTAATTTTTGTGTTTGTGAAACTGAATGTGAAGGTTGACCTGAACTTTTGATTGATGAACGAAACTTGCGAATTTAGTGCCTAATAAATTCCTGGCGAATGAACCCAGGCTTTGTTTTGTCTCTTGTGAAGCGTGGAGTGGGCTGTACTTCAGAGGACTCTTAGTCCTAAACATAGCCATTTTGGAGATGGAAAGTATGCATTGTTGCTTATACCTAATCGTAGACAAATGATGAACGAAATGAAGTTAACAACTTCGAAAATTGGCTATCACTTGATATGGGTTCATTTCCCGTTCAGTCAGTAAAATTAAAATTTGGACTCTTTACTTGTTTCTGAGGAAAGGATTGTGACATGAGAAGATTTTTTTATGTTGACTGTTCACTTGTATTAGGTTCACAGATGAATACTTCAAAAGCCCCAGACGAGGCTATGGAGGATCTGTGGTCAACGTATTTTATAAACTGCGGCGAACTCGATCAGAAAACCCTTTCGAACCCGCGGCCCTCCAGTTCAATGGGTCTGGTTCCTACGGAAACGGTGCAGCGATGCGAGCGTTTCCGGTAGCTTTGTTTTTCAGCAGACGCGACACTGACAAAGACAAACTCATGCAAGTTGCGATAGATCAAGGTAGAATAACGCATGCGAACTCGACCGGATATCACGGAGCTCTGCTGCAATGTCTCGCTGTGTCACAAGCATTCCTTGCCGATCCTGGCGAAGTCGTGAATATCGAAGAATTTTGTAAAGCCATCGGTGATAAGATTCGAAATGTTGAAGCGGAAAGTGAAGAAAGGTATGACAGTCTTGTGTCAAAGCCTATGGCTGTCTTTGTCAAATGCAGGTGGACTCTCTGCAAAAAAACTCAAGAAGCTAGGAAAATTTCTTGGTAGAGAGTATTTCACTTTAGAGAATCCCTGTGAAATGGGGAGAGCACCCTATGCCTATGGGACCGTACAAGAATCGTTATACAGAGAAAATCGTTGTAGACAAGTTTGTTGAGAGTGTCCACCGCGTGTATGTGACATTTTTTGGTAGTGCTTTCGAAATCCTTCGTTTTATTAAGTATCCCTGTACAACAGGGTCTCTCAATCTTCTCAATGCGCGGAAGTCGTATCAAAATCACTTTATATGGTAGAGACCTTCGAGTGAATTATTTTTGATTGCTCTATTTTTTCGGCGCTTAATACTTTACTTTACATGCCTACTTAGCCATGAAGTCTGCTCAATCTTTGATACAGTATCATAACACAACATTAATCCATTTGCTTGATTCTCATCTCCGGCGTGGAGCACTGTAAGTTAGCTTCTAAACTATAGTATTGCACTCGTATCGCATGTTCATGCAAATTTGTTTTCTTTTATTATTAGTTTACGGGAAAGCGGTGGAGCGGCAGTTTTTTCTGCGAAAATGAAACGCCTTGAAGCCTTAGCAAAGCAGGCAAAAGATCGAAGCAAGATCGATTTCGACATCGTCATACGAGATCTGGGGAATAATATTTCAGCGTTAGAATCTGTACCCACAGCAATATTTTGCTACCTGATGGCTCAAGACAAAACTCTGGAGTGTTGTCAGGTACATATCTCATGGCTGAAGAGTTGAAAAAATGTGGAGGGCTTTCACAATACGTTATATTATTTTATTTTATCAGGGAGATTCCGTGATCGAAAGGTCAATACAGCTAGCGATCGCCCTGGGCGGTGACACGGACACAATCGCCACCATGGCCGCTGCTATCGCTGGGGCTCATGTCGGTGTGGAAGATATCCCCGAGGTTTTATTGAAGCACTGTGAAGCGAGGGACCGAGTACGGGATCTCGCAGATAGGATTTATGCCCATGTAGTAGGAGGCGAGGATTTACAAGCCTCTGATGTTTGATTACTTCCCTGGTGAGTTTTCAAAAAGTTTTGTAGCCCGGTTTTCGTCCATTTCTTGTTCACAAATTATGCTAGGGAAAGTTGTGTAGTGCTGTTGCGAATAATTTTTTTCCTTGCGAGGAAAAAATTACATCGAAATGCGAGAAATCTGGTGGGAAAGTTTTGGGAGTCCACTGTAATGATGACGAGAGGATCCTGAGCCAAATTGAGTGACGTTTGCCGAATTTGAGAAGAACTTTACTGATATTCGAGATGATGCCGTTCTGCGAGAGTCCTAATACATTGTTCTTTTTGCTATGTTTGGAAATATTTATCCAATATGGAGATGAAGCGCGAACTCGCTTTAGCATGGGTAGATGTCACTGTCAGTAATGATAGCTTATTAATTTCATTTTAAGTTTTGTGTTCCTGGTTTTCTCCTCCGTAAGCATGAGTTTTGCTACGGCAGCACCTCCGAGGTATTTCATTTTAAACTGCAATTTTTATTTAATTCAGTCTGCGGTATTGATAACTTCTTCAAATTGTTGGGCATATTACCGTCAAAATTTGAGTGAAACATCACGAAAAGTGCGACCTTATCTGCTGTCGTGTAATTTTTGTTAACTGTGTGTAATGTATCACTTAAAATTGCGGGAAATCGTTTTCCTTAAATTTTCGAAGTGTTCGTCATTTTTTTTCATGGTTTCGCGTTGGATCGCTGAAGGGCAGTGAGGTATACTTTTTTTTATCTGGAATGTCCGAGTTCGCGAAGTATGGAAATGCTTTTCTATGGTAACTCTACTTTTGGAAGCAAACAGACAAATTTGACTAAGATCAATCTTGCTTCTTTATTTCGTTTCGCGCAACATTTTCAAGGAAGCACAAAGACGCCACTGAGCTCCATTTTATCCTCCTCTCTCCCCTTCATTCAACTTTGCAATTCAACTTATTTGTGCAATTATGAGGACTCACTCTCCATGTTTTAACAAGGTTATGTACCCTTGCGTAATCAATTCGACACTCACATCTGCATTGCGATGCGTACAAATACAACGAGAACAACAAACACCAGATCACGAAGTTCCAAGAAAAACTTCTGCTACAAAAACGTCCTCACTTCCCTCAAAATGTTTCTTTTCTCAAAACCTTGTTTGCTGGTAACATTTTTCTGGCCTTACAACAAATGTGAATGGACAGAATGTGTATTCGCGTGGAATGTTTGGAAATTTGTATGTGCATTCATTATCTAAATGTTTTGGATGATTAAAGCTACAAATGTAACCTTGAATGTTTTTCCAATCACCTCCTCAAGAATTATTTTGGCCTCAGTAATTGCATTATTTTGGCCATCATTGAAATCTGAAACATTTGTTCTGAAATTTCCCTTTTGATCCAGTCAGTTTTTTTTTATCCTGTTTTTTTTGTTTGTTTACAACTTCTTGAAACATGCATACTATTCTGGCTTTTTTCAGAATTGATGATACAGCATACTGCAACTGACCGTCATTTATCCAGAAAACTACTCATCACAAAGAAACCTCTCTGTGATTTCTCATCTTCGAATTTTCCAGATTTTCCACCAGTTGCATTTAGTGTGAAGTACCGAATTCACATTAGTGATGTAAATCTAGGCACTTTTTTGCCAATCTATGCATAAATAGAGAATCACGATGTCATCGGGCGAAAACATGGGGGCAGTTTTAGTGAGCACAATAGTTAAATTCAAATGCTCTCTAGCCCTTTCATTTGAATTAATTTTCCATTTTTTTCAAAAGCTACGATGGTCAATGCCAGTAAAATTAGGCATTTATTGGAAGTAAACTTGATCGAGATCTAGTTTGACGAGGAGGGTAATTGTCCAGCAAAGGAAATTTTCCTGGGATCTTCGGAACGCTGTTTCACAAGTGTTGCAAAACTTTTTTTTTCATTTTTCTCAAAAAATCTCACTGAGATCAATGGGTTTAAGTGGACTTCGGAGAAACAATCACGCGCATACACTCGTCGTCGCTGTGTGTTGTAGCTCTGTAAAACGTGTTTCATAATTTATTTCCGGTGTCGTCGTCGTTGTCGTCTTGCTCGTCTTCTTCGTATTCGTCATAGTAGTAGACTGGGCCGGGTTCTGTTGGAACCAGCAGACATTCGCCGGTGTTCCCGAACCACTTGCCGACAGCGTTGCAGATTAGCTTGTCGCGTCTCTCGTCACTGAGCGCAAACCCAGGGTCGCAGGTGACGAGCACGCTGTCGCCGGGGTGGTAGAAGAACTTGATGGGACTGAACTGGCCGTTGCTCAGGGAGATTTCTGGATACGGACAGCCAATTGTACCTAAACGGGGAGTTGGGGAAACCAAAAGACGATTATTCTTTTAGTATAGACTACCTTGATTCCAGGTACTGTATAGTCGGACCTCTGGAATTATTATCAGAATCTCCCGAAGTTGGAAACCGCCCGAATTCGTATTTAGTCCTTGTCGCAATTCCCTTGAAAATCATGTAACCTGAACCTGCTTATTAAATTTACGCAAATACATGTGTAATCTGGCTACAACGGAATACGAGGGACCATACTGACATTGTTGGAGGAAATTTTTTACTGTAGTAGAAAATCCCTGCAGCATGGGGCGAGAAAACTATAGGACCAAAAAATTCGGTATACAGAGAAAATCGTTGTACGCAAGAACGTGGTAGAGTAAATCCACCGGTGTAAGCGCTCTTCAAATGCAAGTCGATTTTTCGTGCACAACAATGAAATTCCATCAAAGAACGCATATGAGCACCCCTTGCATTTTCCGGCGTTCTGACTTTCCAGAAACCCAACATATCTGACCAAATTCAGGTTTTCCCCAGGGAAGGATCAATATTTTCAACAAAAAGTGAAAAAGGCCTTGTGAGCCCAAGAATATTTTTCTGAACAATAACTGTTCTAAATCTTATGCCGATTCAGTTTCTATTCCGAGAATATGGGTTTGTAGTTCCTTGTACATCCTTGTCTGCATATTTCACTTAAATTTTGTATCACAGTATTTGAATACAGTACAGTAATATCTGGCAAGTAATAATATTTACTGTATATATCATTTCTGAAGATGAAGTACTGTATTTCCATTTACCTTGATTGCTCCTGTGACTTGGAAATAGGCGAAAAGGTGCTTATATTTACGCAAATGGCATTAATACGAAATATAAGCGCCCCCTAGTTTTTAAGCTAAAATTCAAAAAAGCTTACTTTTTGCCATAAATACGGTAACTCGAAATGTTTCAACTGCAAACCTCCCGAATTTAAGAATTTTGAAGAAAATAATTTACTAAAAAAATCAAATGTTAATGTTTTTGAAAGGAAAGTGAGCACTTTTAATTGGATTATTAAACACTGGCTTGAGGTTGTGCGTGCAATGTAGACTGATTTATAATTCAGTTACCAGTGCGAGTGGTGCCTATAGCCATTTTTTTTAAATCTAGAGGTGCTAATTAAGGAATTACTTTTACCAACCGGGTTTGACTAACTTGAAAGAGTTATGATATGGAGGGGATTTTGGCTTGATAACACTCACAATATGGCGGTGGTGCAGACCAGGTGCCATCGGCTTGGCAAATCAAAATGGGCTGCCCCATGATGACCAGGTTCGAGTCGCAGGAGTACTTGACCATGGCTCCCACTTTGTAGCGACGGAATTCTTCCACTTTGCCGTTCAGAGGTGGCAAAGGAGGCGGACATTCAATTTCTGCAACAACAAAAAACAAGAAAAAGAGGTGTTAGCACCCACACTCTTTGGGATATTGCTCAGGTGGGTTTGGCTTGCACTTTTCCCTGCGTCATTCAAAGAAATCTTGATTATAATTGAACAATATCTGTGTCCACATGTTCACAAATTCTGTTGATGAATGGCTTGGAATAAGGTGACCGAAATATTCATGAACTTCGCTCTTTTTCGTGCGAGTTTGACAACATTTGCTTTTATCCTGAAATAATCACTCACTGTTCACTACCCTGGTCGTATATTGGTCAAGGAAAATGTGTTCATCCATGATGGGTTACATTCTGCCGCACGAACTCTTTCCAGCCCTAACACAGCATTCCTGAACTCGGCAGGAGGAAATTTGTGTCCAGCATTGAACAAAATCGTAATTTCCTTTTTTTCTTTCCCATAAATTACATTAATGCGTTCGAAGTTGACGTAGCAAATAATTATCTGGCGTGGATTGTGAATTGCACCCTGTTAAATGGTTGGAAATGGATAAATTAATGCGTTTGAGGCACGTGAAGAAAATAATTACCATTCCTGTATTCCAGAAAGTATGAAATAACAATGGGCTTCTTAATTACCGCGAATCTTGAGCAGCATTTCAAAATATTTTTCCTATCGTAGATAAAAAAAAAAAAATTTCCGCATGGAACCCGATCAAAATCTGTTTGAAACTGCAAATGGGGTCCTGCGCGAAAATGAAGACTGAGACTCGCATTAAACTTCAGATGTTGAATAAAAATAATTTTTTTTGTACTGCCCCCCCCCCCCAGAATTAACCCAATGCATGAGAATTACGTTCAAAAATCCAGCGGACAATAAGAAGGTAAATCGATCAATGAATTTCTCGCTCATTACAAGTTTATCTCTGTATAGTTGATGAAAATTTGGAAAAAATCTGTTATTCGAATCTACATTTAAAAAAGTGAGTTTATTCCAGGGATGTTTTCACTGAAAAGAGTATGAAGCGTGAGTGAGGAAATACTTGAACTCCATCACGTAAGATGACGCATTGAAATTCGCCGAGAGCTCTCAAGATTTTTCTCGCAAACCCCCTTTATCACGATTTTGCAGGCTCGTGCTCAAGTGATGAGAGACGATGACTTGATACTTTAATACACAAGGTTGAAGGAGTAATAATTTCCTCAGTCAGCATATTACATGTCCTGAGAATTTTGGAATTTTTGCGCGGTGGCTTTTTGTTACTTCCATTTAAATCGAATTATGAACGGATTTCAGCACAAGACGCGCCCTTCCTTTAATTTAAAAAATGGCCATTAAATTTCGAGGAAAGAAGATTTTGCATGAAACGAGGAATAATTATTTCCATCTTTAAAAATGCAAAGGGACCATTAGCCGAACAACTTCGTCCATAAAAAGTTTTGGAATAAATGAAGTTCAATTAAAAATAAATCCTTTTCCGAGGAAGTTGCTGAATTCTGTCCTTTGAGAAAGCGAAAACTATTTTCTGTCAAGACAATTCTTCATCCCCTATACGAAGAGGAAGAATTTTAATTTTTGCAGCTATGAAATATTTTTGCATTTAAGGCTAAAAAATGTAAAATAGAATAAGATCTGCAGGATTTCTATTGAATACTCTCTAGTTTGACGACCTCTCTGCCGTAGAATTTTTTTCATACTTTTATCTAGAAGAGATGGTGAGGTTCAGTGTCACAAAACCTGGGTTTCCTGGCGTTGCTTCTATAAGAATTGTCAGGAAAATAAATTCCACGAAGTTCTACTGGTGGAATTTCGATGTGATTGCACGCAAGAAAGATCCCAAAAAATATGCGTCTTCTACGCTTCGATTATTTAATTCGTGTTGTGTTTTTTCTTCGCATTCTGTTCAGTTTTTTTTTTAGACTCAGATTATTTCATGTTTTTTCTTGTACGAACGAATAATGCGAAGAATTTCAACATGGCTCTCTTGATTGTGTTAGAAATATAAGAATGGATAAACAAGCAGTCAATCCACTCATCTAAAAATTTAAAATCCTTTCGCACGTCACTGCATTTCTTGGCCTTGATTTTTCCGGATGTCAGAAAGGTGTCCTTGATTTTCAGATCTCACACGGGAAGATCTATACAGTACTCTATAGACACCTAAAAAAACTTGAACTGGAATATATTACCTGCTTGCAAAGTGGAAGCGACAAATACTTCATGACGAAGAGAATCAGGACTGGGAGACATCCGCGTTATAAAAAAATGTAAATCCAGTTGAACCTCTCTAAGTCGAATTTGAAGGGACTCGCAAAAAATTCGACTTAGGGAGGTTTCGAGTTTCATAGAATTAGATATGTTTTACTTATATAATCAAGCATTTTTATTATGGGAAACATTGAAGAATTGCACAAAATTGTACATTGTGATATTCTGGGCCTCAAATTGCTTCTAAAAGGAGTTGACAGAGCACTCAACTTTAGACAGAGGTCCATTTGCATAATTTAGTCTGTCACATTCTGTCAAAGCGCATCAAATTCAATTTTTTGTTTTTTCTCTTTCCTGTTCCAATAAAATAATAACCTGAAGGTCTCACAAATTTAACTTACGGACGTTTTATAGAAAAAGCCTTTGAGTTGGGGAGGGTTTTAATGCATTATTTCTAAAGGAATTCCAGATGGGGACTCAAAAAAATTCGACTTAGGGAGGTATTTGACTGAGGGAGGTTCAACTTAGCAAGGTTCAACTATACTAAAAAGCCTATTGTTATTTACCAGGACAAACAAGAGGTCGATACGTTTTTCTTGCGATGGGCGCCAAATATTTCGACCGTCAAGATCTCGATTTTTGTGTCATTGAAGAGCCTTTCAACTTTTCACTCAAGCACAGTGCTTATTTTTCAGGACAAAATCTGAGGAGGATTTAGAGGTTCTGCTCTGCTTCTGTGTGATGACTATGCCTCTCATTTGAACTGCTTCATTCTTCTATCTGATTGAACTCGTATATATACAGGGCCAGACGCTTCTATTCAACTGCTGCACCGACTTTGAACTTCTCTACGACTCCGAGCATGAAGTTCATGGCAAGGAACAAATCACCTATATTTTTCCTTCTTTCAAACTTTTGTGGGATCCTACTTTAGAACTCATTCTTGAGAAGAAATAGTGCCAATTTTTGTGGAGGGCGCCGTTTCTTCTTCTCGGTGGACCAAGAAGAAAAGTTAAAAAATTCCTTGAAGAGCAATTTCTCCGAATTTTTTGTGATTTCAAGGAATGGTTCGAGAGTCTTTGATCCTTGGACGAAGTCATCATTATTGGGAGCTTTTTTTCTATCAGTCCCTTGAAAAACAGTCATTTATCGGTGATCTTCCGACTGAATCCCTATGACCTGGCGCCAGAAAATTATTTCTTTCAGTTGACTCAATAATAATCTTAGCAAATGTTTTTCTGAACTCTCTATAGATCGAAATGCGACCAGGAAAAATAATTAGGTAATTTTTTGAAGAGCAGTTTCTCGCAATTTTCGTGATTTCAAGGAATCGTCCGAAAATCTTTTATTTTTCGACGAGATCATTATTATTTTTTCTTCAAATAAGTTTCAGTGCAAATAATTTTCAGATTATAATGACTATTCTTGAAGCTTTTTTCTTCCAGTCGCTTCAAAAATAGTCATTATAATCGGTGATCTTCCGACTAAATCCCCATAATCTAGTGCCAGAAAAGCTGTTTTTTAGTTGATTCAATAGTAGTCTTGCGAGAATGTTTTTCTCAACACTTGAGTAATCAAAATGCACATTTCCAATCAGGCAATTCAACAGACTGCTGCTGAAGTACGGCATAAGAAAGTTTCGGTAACGAGGCGAGTGTTCAGTTAGTTTGCCATTGCTGCAAGGCATGATAGAAGTCCGAGAGAGGAAAAAAAAAAAAAAACCCCAGCTTCTGCACTTCTTGAATGGTGAAATCAAGGAGAAAGCTGTTGAGGTTAGAGAGGAATTCTCTGGGTTCCAAACCGAAGATAAAAAAATAAAAAAACCTGCAAGTTTTCCATGTTTTCAGGGCAAGGCCCCCGCTTTCATCAGATGCGCTCACAATTGATTCTTTAGTCGTTCATCCCAAAGTTGGCCACGTGTGCTTCCAACTTTCCATGAATGTTTTATTTTCTATCTTCCCTGAAGTAAAAGATGCCCAAGGCGCGATCGTGATGAAGCAGCAGCTTTTTACCCAAGGTTTTATCCACTTGAAGGAAAAGGGAATCTCTGTATATATGCTGCTTTTTGAAACACAAGTGAGACCCCCATGTGCGGACACCTTGACATTCAGAAAATTCGACATAGGGACACTTATTTTCCCATAGAAATTAATAAAAAGGCCCAACATGAGGACACTGTCTCGACACAGGGACATTTTGTGATAAAATTGCAAATAAGTTTCAGGTCAAATTACAAGAAACTGATATTTCCAACCCTAAAATTGATGTAAGAAAAGTTCTTGGACATTTCTCTCACCAATTTACCATCCATTTATATTATTTAAAAAAATTACCTCCAGCATAGAAGGACTTCCTTCTCTCTTTTTCACTTGAATTTTTTTTTTTACAGAGAATACCAACATTACAGAGGTAACAGTATTCAATTTCCCAAATGTCCACATGGCATTGAAATATATTGACCAGAAAAGGGGACCAGGTAAAAAATCTGTTGTAAGAGAAAATTTCGCCGTAGAGAACCCTATTGGGCCAAAGAAAAATGTTTGCGCAGAAGAAATTGTTGCAGACAAAATTGTCTTGTCTTCCTGTATCTGCAGCAAAGAAAACTATTTGATCACAATAGTACAAAAATATGCAAAAATTAAGGAAAGTTCCGCGGAGTTTGTTGTCCAGTTGTCAATCAAATAAAATCTACATCAAGTTTTACAAAGCAATAATATAGAATATATATTAGTTAATATACAGACCTGTCAGATGAAAACAGATAAGCTCCTTTTTCAAGAGACTTCCGAAATGTGTGTGAGGAAGTTTCTCTGAGAATGTTCACAAAATTCTGGTTCTTCCTTGGCAATGCTTGCTACTTTTATAAATTATGGACAAGCACCTCTCAAACAATAGAGGAATCATTTCTTGAAGAGGAAATCATTCCTGAGTTATAATTTGTAGGCTATTCCTCTTTGAGAGAATATTCTTGTGCAAAACAGGATTTAACAAATTATAAAAGGCTTTTGAGCCTGACAAACATGTTTTTGGGTATGCACAACAATTGTTGGCAATTTTTGTGAAGAGAAAAATATCCAGGGAAATTGCTCCTGAAACTTGAAAGGAGATCCAGTCTAGTAAATAGCTCAGTAATTCTGATTCGTCGCAAATCTTTCCAAGCGTTTTGTTTTACTGTTAATAATAAAAGAATTGAACTTCTGAAGGAAGTTTTCACAGAATATATTGGATAACAAGTTCTTTTTATTTCTAGAAATTGCATATGCAAATATGAACTCACCTTGGCACGTCGGCGGTGGTGCTGACCAGGATCCGTCTTGCAGGCACTGGATCTCGATGGCGCCTCTCAGTCGGTAACCCAGAGGACAGTGAAAACTGACATAACCCTGATAGGAATCGTTGTAGTGGACCACTTCCAGGGGTTCTAAATTTCGCATAACCAGTGGGGGACATTGTACGGGTTTGCAGCTCGGTACCGTCCCTGACCAGTTACCTATATAAGGGAAAAGAAATGAAAAAATTATTGTTATGCCTTTATTTCAGGATCAGTGAGAAGCCCGCCATTGTCCCTGCGATTCGGCTTGGAATTTATGCAAACAATTTTTGAATGTTTCGAATAATAATGAAAATGGTGGAGCCATGTCCCCCTCACCCCCCGGAAATCAATTATTTTCACGTGCAGATTCAAACAGCAACGTGTTTATTAAATGTAAATGGATGATGAAAAAAAAAATTGCGTGCCTTACTTGAGCTTGGAAGTTGAGTAAATTTTACTGGTTTGAATTTTTTGAATTATCAAAAAGGCTGCAGAGAATAGAACGCGATAAAATATTTCAAGATCTCTCTCAGAACTTGTCTCAGGGTTTTTAGGGAATTTTCGTCAAGGAATAAGCATGAACGAACAAAAACACTCGCTACTGATGAATCTAAACATACTGTCTCGGTCTAGCGAAAAAAACAACCATAGTTTTAATTAGCCTTGATGCATGTTCATGTTTAAAAAGTAAACCTGAGGTTGAATATTGTACTTTTAAAATAAGAGTTTCTGTTGTTGCAGTTTTTGAAACATCGCTGCTAACGATGATCGTCACGTAATGACCAAAAAATGAAAGTTTCACGAAAATATTTCTCATCTTCACCCCGAGATACCGTTTGCACAAATTTTGTAAGATGATCTTTCTTTCAACCCTCAAAAGTTGATCGCTTTGATTTTATTACGAAAATATGGCCAATAAAAATTGCTTTCACGGCCGAAAATACTGTGATTACTTCGACTGTAACACACTACACACAGAATTTGTTTTGAATGAATATGGAAAAGACGACTGTGAGCCCTTCGAATTTTGTCATGATTGAAATATAATCGGTCATTATTATACCGTTTCCCAAATTCTAAATTTTCTGCTTTTGAAGTTGTGTGCAGGGCAATTCTCGAAGCACTGTAGAGTAATTTCTTAAAAAAAAACAGAGGTATCTGAATGAAACGGGGGTTTTCAGTAACGCTTTTAGTAAAAATATCGATCAAGTCTACAATTTGGTGCACTTGAATGGAATGCTTTGAAAGTCACATATAAACCTCGCTCGAAATGAAATTTATCATGTACAGTACTTGCATTCCGAAGTCGGAATCCTTCTAAACGAGTTGTGAGATCAGTCGTCAAACTTGAAAGAAGCTAATTTTTATGTGAGAATTATGTTCGTATTACGATTACTGCATTTTGAAAACTTCGATTAATTAATTTAGACCCTAAATTAATGAGAAATACGTGTCCTAAAATTTTGGAAAAATAATCTTCATATTCAATATACACACGTTTGTGAAGATCAGAATAATTTTTGTTTCTTGAAACATGGTAAAGTATGACGGATTATCATTGGAAAGCTTCTCAAAACCTCATCCAAATATTCAGGCCACTTGACAGTCGGTTAATCCACAAATATTCAAGTACGGTAGAAGAAAATCCATCTCATTTCCTCACAGAAATGGAGCATTGTTGCCACTGCTTTTATTTTCTCCCCTTGACTTCGATGAAAAAAATTACTTCACGATTAATCAATTACACAGTGAATTTTATTGCGTTACTCTATAAAATTAAAACATTTTTGAATTTCTGCGACAGGAAGACTCACCATGCGAATTAAAGAAATGGGTTAACCATCATAAATCAAACGCCCTCATGCGAATATTTGTTCAAAGGCCTTTTCTTCATTCATTCGACATGGATAATCCGGTTATTTGTCTTCAATAGCGATAAGACTCACCATGTGAATTGAAGAAATGGATCAACCATCGTAAATCAAACGCCCTCGTGCGAATATTTTTTCAAAGGCCTTTTCCCCCATGATTTAGTCAACATGGATAATCCATTTCTGCATTGTTTGCCTTCAAAACCCGTAGTGCCAATAATACGAGATTTCAAAGTTCGCGCATTTCTCGCTTATGGAACCGCGTGAAAACCCAGAAAACGCACCCCAAAACCCAGCAGGGCCCACGATTCAAATGCGAATTCACGGCAGCACATACAGCAGCTGATGTATACAAGCTCGGGTCAAGAGGAAATCCAAATCCCGCGGATCCTCCCAACATTTCTCAACCCCGGGTGATTTCGCCCAGAGAAACGTCATTTCCCCGGCGACGGTAATTCCAGGCTTGGGGATTGCAGTCGAAAATAATAGGAAAAGCCGACAGGAAGATAATAAGACATTCCGTGGAATGCAGCAGGAACGACGGAAAATGCCCGTCCGTATATTTCAAAGTCGGAAAGTGGCATCTTGCGAAGCCATTTTAACCGTGAAAACAGGACGGACGTTCGTCACAGGGAACCCCGCTTCATGCCTTGACCCGGATGCATAATTAATTCCGCGCTTTCCGACTGCTGAATTTTGGCACGGGGAGGGTGTCTCGGGGATTACGGGGGTTGCCCTTTCCCAGGCGGGAAATGAGGAGAAAATATGACGGGAAAAGTTGTGGCTGGATGAAAAAAAAAAGAGCCATTTTTCGAAAGCTTTCGTTCCTTGCATTTGAGAAATGTCAATAAGTACAGTTACAGTCTAATCTTATATAATGACATTGAAGTTGGAAGGGATACCAGGAAAAAAATCGAGTTCGAGAAAACAACAGTTGTGTTTGGGAAAAAGAAGAATAATTGCAGGAAATTTGTTATTGGTGGTATTCTAAGACTTGAATTGCTTCTTGAATGAGTTGACAGCTAGGATGCTGAACCTTGAGACGAGGGTTTATTTGCCCAATTAGTTTTTCCTTTCCTTTCAAAACACATCGTTACATTTTTATTGCTTTTCTCTTTCTTGCGTCAATGAACTAATATCCAGAAGGCATTCAGAAAATTCGAATTCTGGAGGTTTGAGGGGGAAAGCCTTTAAGTTATGGAGGTATTTTTGAAGGGAATTTTGACAGGAACTCAAAATATTTGACTTCGGGTGGTTCGAATTATCGAGATTAAATTGTATTCCGACCGATTCCGATTGTGTAGCTCTTCCTTGAAAATAAATCAAGAATTTGCGGAAAATAGCATATACGAGTACATCAGTGGGTACAATTTTCAGACAACTGTGTGAATTTCGGCAATGAATTTCACGGCATTTCACGGCAATCAATTTCACGGATTTAACCCGAACTTTCAGATCATCCATGAAAAGTTCATTTTACATTTGAGGATATGGATCGCAATTTTTACTGCTGGTGTAAATGAAAAATCTCTCCATTAAATCTCAAATCTCTTCATTAATCTCTTCAAATCTCTTCTCTCAGATATACGAGGCAGTACTTTTAAAATTGACGCTGTAAGGTTTTATTTTGTGTGGTTGGAATTTTACAAGCCTTACACCTGTAAAGAATTTGTGGAGTTTGCTGAAATGAACCTTGTCAAACAATTAATCAGGCGTAGAATTAAAACACAGTACTTGGCC